GGAAAGAGATAGGAGAGTCCAACACGTCTTTGTTTTGAAGTGTGTGGTATTTCTGGATGGGCTGTTGAAAAAGAAAGTATTTAATGTCGTGTAATTTGGCTTCTGCCGATCTGTAGAGATTCTGATAGCAGAGCCAATTTGGTGTAGTGGTTAAGTGCGCGGACTCTAATCTGGGAGAAATGGGTTTGATTCCCCACTCCTCCACTTGCACCTGCTGGATGACCTTGGGCAAGCTGTAGTTCTGGCACAGCTGTTCTTGAAAAAGAGCAGTTTCTGTCAGAGCTCTCTCAGCCCCACCTACCTCACAGGGTGTCTGTTGTGGGGAGGGGAAGGGAAAGGAGTTTGTAAGCCGCTCTGAGACTCTTTTGGGTAATGAAGGGCGGGGTATAAATCCAATCTCTTCTTCTTCTAGTAAAAAGATTCTAAGATGTATTTTGCTGCAAATTGTAAGGTACCATGTTGTTTCGAATTGAGTTGACAATGTTATCTGCCTGTTTCTTTTTAAATATCCAGGCTAGGAGTTTGGTTGAATGTGGACATTTAAGCCAATAATGCTGTTTAAGGAACAGGATATTTTTTTGGATTTGTGATATTTCTAGGGAATCAGTTTTTCCCCATTCCAATACCAGCATTTTATATGTGTTTTTTTAGTGACCAAACTTCTTGTATTCTTCTTCAAGATGTTTAATTTTCTCCATTAAGTCCAGTTTAATTTGTTTTTTTTGTTTTTTTACAGGAGCAAGTCAAAGCGGTCAGCTTGCCCCTAAGGACTGCTTTAAAAGCGTCCCATTTTATGGGTCGGGATACCTCGCAGGAGTTGTTGAATTGTAAGCCAATATTCAAAGATCAGCATAACTAGTTCCATGAGTTGAAGAGCCTTTCGACTTGATTTTCAGTCACATCCTTCCCCAATTTTATATGCAGTGTGTTCAATTGACACATTATGGAATACACAAGTTGGGCCTGGGTCCCCACTCTGCATAAGAGTCATAAGAACATAAGAGACGCCAATGTTGGATCAGGCCAAAGGCCCATCTAGTCCAACACTCTGTATCACACAGTGGCCAGAAATACCAGGTGCCATCAGGAGGTCCAGCAGTGGGGCCAGGACATTAGAAGCCCTCCCACTGTTGGCCCCTCCAAGCACCAAGAAGACAGAGCATCACTTGCCCCAGAGTACCTATCTATACCTTGTGGCTAATAGCCACTGATGGACCTCTGCTCCATATGCCTATCTAATTCCCTTTTGAAGCCGCCCATGCTTGTAGCCGCCACCACTTCCTGTGGCAGTGAATTCCATGTGTTAATCACTCTTTGGGTGAAGAAGTACTTCCTTTTATTGGTTCTAACCCGACCGCTCAGCAATTTCATGGAGTGCCCACGAGTTCTTGTATTCTGAGAAAGGGAGAAAAGTATCTCTTTCTCTACCTGTTCTTTCCCATGCATAATCTTGTAAACCTCAATCATGTCACCCCTCAGTCGTCTTTTCTCCAAGCTAAAGAGCCCTAAGCGCTTTAACCTTTCGTCATAGGGAAAGTGTTCCAACCCTTTTATCATTCAAGTTGCCCTTTTCTGCACTTTTTTCAAAGCTATAATATCCTTTTTAAGATGTGGTGACCAGAACTGCACACAGTATTCCAGATGAGGTCGCACCATTGATTTATATACCCTGAACAACTTTGTATCATCTGCAAATTTAGCCACTTCACTGCTTACTCCCATCTCCAAATCATTAATGAACAAGTTAAAAAGCAGTGGACCAAGTACTGATCCCTGCGGTACCCCACTGCTTACCACCCTCCACTGAGAAAATTGCCCACCTACACTCACTCTCTGTTTTCTATGAACTAGCCAGTTTTTGATCCATAAAAGGACTTGTCCTTTTATCCCATGATTTTTGAGCTTACTTATGAGCCTTTGATGAGGAACTTTATCAAAAGCTTTCTGGAAGTCAAGGTAAATAATATCTATTGGATCCCCCTTGTCCACATGTTTGTTCACCCCCTCAAAGAACACTAATAGGTTAGTGAGACAAGATCTTCCCTTACAGAACCCATGTTGAGTCTGCCTCAATAGGTTTTGTTCATCTATGTGCCTACTAATTCTTTCCTTAATAATGGTTTCCACCAATTTACCCGGTATCGACGTCAGACTGACTGGCCTGTAATTTCCCGGATCTCCTCTGGAACCCTTTTTAAAGATGGGAGTGACATTAGCTACCTTCCAGTCCTCAGGAATGGAGGCAGATTTTAAGGAAAGATTACATATTTTTGTCAGAAGATCCACAAGTTCACATTTGAGTTCTTTCAGAACTCTTGGATGTATGCCATCTGGCAGTACAGATGCAGTCAGATGCAAGTTGTATCTGCAGTCCTCCCCACTGGCTTCAAGTTGCTGTATCGCCTTGCTTCCTCGAAAGTGGAACACCAAAACTGCCCAGCTCTAGAGCTGAATAATACACAGCATCTTTTTCATTCTTAATGTACATAAGACCAATTACTGTGATGTATCACATATGAGTTTTTTGAAGGGGAATTATAAAAATATATATTTGGAATTTTCACTGTTTTAGGAATTTAACATGGACTGTTTCTGATGGTGGATTGATGGGACTGTTTGTGTATTTGGACAATGTATTTTTGAGTTTCTGACTACTATATTGTATTTTGGAAAAACTACTCTATTCATATAGGTTTAGATCATTATACTAATTGAATGCTGAATATATATTTTTGTTATTTATGCACAGTTTGATCTTTTGTATTGCCATTTTAATGTTAGGTTTCTGGAAACTGCCAAAATGGTTACCCCAAAAAACTTTGTTCACTAAAGCATTAAAGGGAAAAAATGTTTTCAAAGCATTAGGCTTCTATGATGGACCCCTGCTCCTTCTCTTCCGTGAGGCAGATTTTCCCGCCAAATCACTGTTCACCACTCTGACTGAGCAACCTCTTAGTAATGTATTTGAATTATAAACGTAAAACTTATAACTTTCTTGGTGTAATAGAAGTTATTTGGCTTTTGCCCAGACCAGAGTTTTATTGTAACTCAGCAGGAGCCCTCTTATATAACCCTTTGGAAATGGCACTTGAAATGAAGTAAAGCTGAAACAAAAAGTTCGATTTTATTGAACAGGCAACAGAGTATAATTGAAGCTTAAATTCTAAGAGACTCAGTTCTTTACTGTGAGAGATTGGTTTATCTCATAGATTTCTTTCAGCAACAGTGTGTCTTAATAAAGTTTCATGAAAATATCTTAGTTTCCTGGAAGTTAGAACTTTGTTCCTGTATCTCAATACTTCCCTTTTTGAGATTATAACTTTCCCTTTCTGTACTCTTGAGGAGTCTAAGACTGTTTCCCTTTTCATTCCTAGGGGTGTGCAAAAAAAAAATATATTCGGCCCAATTTGGTTCAGCTGAATTGGGCCAAATTTGATTTGGGTGGCCGAATGACCACTGAATGCCACTCTCAGCAACTTAAGCCGATTCGGGGCTCATTCGGCCAGCCAAATCAGATTCAGCCAGGGGCTCCCAGGCAAGCCAAGGGAAGGCGTCCCTCCAAGTGGGGGCTTGCCCAGGCTCCCCACAATGAAGGGAGTGTGCCGCCTCTGCGGCATGACTTGGGGTTTAAAGATTAAATCATTGAAGGGGAGGGGAGGGGAGGGACTGCACAGCTTAGAGGGAGCATTGATCCCAGTATCTCCCTTTACATCTCATGTCAATTTCATTCCACCCTCTCCCTTTATTTTGTTTGAATGCAGCTGTGCTGGGTCCAGCCAGTTGCCATGGATACCCTTCACTGAAATCTGGATACGCAGTCCAAAAGCAATCCAAAAGACAGAGCCAAAGGTCAGAAAGCCGGGAAATCAGTCAGAGTTTGCAGGAGCTAGGAGCAAGGAGTGGAGGCTAACAGCCGGGATCAGGTCTGAGCATGCATGTTTATGACCAGGTCCTCCCTTCCCTGGGAGTCAGTCTGCCAAGACTCACAGCCCCTCACATTACCTTTGCAATAGCTACAGTCTGGCACGCTTCCTTCTTTCTTGCACATTCAGCCGCTAGTGTGCCCTGCAGCTCACTCAGGTGAGCTAGGTGGGGATTCTGGCCTCAGGGTGTCTCCAACTGGGGGTGCTGGGCCAGGCTCTGGATCAGTCTCTCCCTTTGGATGCACCTCAGTCTCTTCGCCTTGCTGCCTCTCCTGTGCAGCTGCTGAGGCCTCTTCTCCCTCTGGTGCTATTAAAGGTTCCTCTTCTGGCCTGACTCCAGAGGAGGCTGGGTTGCTCCATGCCTCTTCCTCATCTTCAGAATAGTCAGGCTCAGCAGAGCCAGTACCCATGACACTAGCACTGAAATCCTCTTTCTTTTTTTTTTGCACTTGGGACACTGCCATTTGCCTCCCCTTTCAAGTCAATACCAGCAGGGAACTAAACCTCACACAGGTCTTTTAAAATTTTCCCCATCGTTTTCAATTTTTTAAAATTCAGTTATCCAAGACTAGTCATCTCTTCCCATCTAACTATCTCCAGCACTGTGAACAGAAGCTCAAGATGGACCTCATCTTCTCACACAGCTTTTTAGTCCCTGAAATATATTGGGTTCGAGCTGTGTATAGTGATCAGCTCATAGTTTATTAGTGATTTCAGCTTAACTCTAAGACAACTCTAGCAGGGCCAGAGCCCTGCTTATATGCATGCAAAACACCCCACCCCACACATAGACACTCCCCGTGATAGGCTATTTACAAAACATTACTACTTGACTGGTTTATTTCAGAGTCCTGGTCTGCTATTATTCTTGTGCTCCAAGCTCAGCTAGTCTCTAGGGTGATTCAATCAGGGATGATTCAATCCCAATACATAACACCCCTCCCCCCTAAATTCCAAAGCACCTAACAGACATAGTATCTTAAGTAAACTGGTCTGTGTCACTCCCTGGTTGAGCATCACGAATAAACAATTAATTCTTTAAATTCCAGAATCACTGTGAGAGGAGGGATAACTTACTTGTGATTTCTTTGGCTTTTTGACAGCAGCATTGGTACACACATCCTCCAGGTTTATAATTGTTTGTGATTTGTTACCTTCCAATGATCTTCCATAAAGCTGATAATAAGACTGAAGCTTTTGTGCTTGTTTTCTTTGATATGGATCATTAGTTTTGGCTACAACAAACAATATTGGAGATAAAATTATTTTATTGTAAGGTAACTTTTTAAAAATCCAGTCACCCTGATTCAGTAAGGGATAGCCAGTCCACACACATGTACAAATCTCTAGTTTAGTTTGCTCTTAGATACCAAATTCATTTATATTTTCAAATAAAAATAAACTTCTTATAACCTATACAGCATATACAGAGAGGAAATTTAATCGCCTGATACAGATTACAAATACAAAAATGGCACATGATATACATGGCTATAGTTCTCAAAACAATGCATATACTATTTTGTGTTCTATTTCCAAGTCATCCAGCCCAACATTAGTCTACCAAACTGTATTATAACAAGCAGCAGGCCTGTGAGACATGTAAAAGAGGGAAATCTCATACTCCACACTACCCTTACCCAGTCTCTCTCCTTTTGATTACTCCCCATATTAGTTTTGCTTCTCTTCCTACCCCCTGTGGTCCCCAATTTCCCTTTCCAGCTTGGTCATCACTTTCTCTCCCTTCCCAACCCACAGTCTCCTACTTCCACCACAGCTTCCCAGTGTTCAGGGATTGCCTAAAAAGCCCTAGTCTTGCTTTGGTTGCTAGGCTGCCTGTGATTTTATGAGAGTTTATGAGATTACAGGTATCTTTCTTCCAGGAGGGACCTCCTAATTGTTTTGATGCTTTGGGTTTTTTACTGAGGTGCTTCAGGTACCCACAGGATAGCAGCAATATTTCCTCTGTCTATCCCTGGCCCCACTGTGTCGATGTTTTGATCAGCACTCTGGAGCTGGGTTCAGAATTAGGAATAATTTGTCCTTCTGAGTTTAAAAGGTGGTTTTGCACATCAGCAAAGGAAGGAGATGGGCCCATATAACTTGATAACAAAATCTATAACTGAGTTATCTTCAGATCAATTACATGGCATTAAATTCCAATAAAAACATATTCATTATATATAGTTGATTTTTAACATGTTATTTTCTTAACAATGACTGATTTTATGGAATAAAGATTCATGGTTCTTACTATTAAAACTGTTTTGTGTTCTGTCATAGTCATCACTAAGAGGTCTGCCTGAATGCCAGTGATAAAGTTCATCAAATTCTTTGTGTTTAGGAAGCAACATTACTGCAGACTCGTCGCTGAAACATAAATGCAATAAATTACAATGGATGAGATTTTTCCCAATTTTACGATATACTAACAATTACAGCGTTAGTGCAGGAATAGTATAAGTCATCTGCTATGTTAGACAATGGACAGGGCCCTCAGAAAGACCTACTGAGGCTTCCGGTTTATGGCAACACGCTGGCAGACGCATCTCTCGGACCTCCCGGGGATGTGATCTGCACACCAGCAGATAGGAGGGGGTGCGACGGGTTGCCGCCACCCCCCCCAAAGCCTTGGCAAAAGGCTCCTAGCCATGGGGCTTTTGAGGGGCGACCTCTTCACCAGCATGATGCTGGGGAATTGAGGTGCTCCTCCGCCCCGACAGTCCTGCCGCTGAGTGTCCTTATGGATCTGGAGCTGCTGACCAGGAAAAGTGTCGGAGATCGAGCGTTTTAAACGTGTTCCGAGCGAGGTCATATGACCAACAATGAACAGTGAGTCGGGTTAAAGCGAAGACATGAATATAAAAAGAAAGCTTCCCCCGGGAACGGCGAGAGAATTGAGCGGGGGAGGGGCCCCTCCCATATGCTGGAACTAAAAAACGATCTATAAAGGGGGGGAGCAGAAGAAAAAGTATTGAAATCTGTTTTGAGAGACTTACCAGAGCATTGATAGACACATAAGCGAAATTCAGAGATTTTAGCAAGTTTTTATAAAAGTAAATAATCCATAAAAATGGCAGGGAAAAAGACGGAGAAAGACAAACTAGTAAAAGTGAAAGCAGCGGGGAACATGAGCCCTCAACTGGAAGAGGGCACTGAGTTCTCCAAAATGTTGGCAGATTCCTTGCACCCTCTGCTGGACCAGATGACTAACATTAAACAGCAGCTGGCAACTCTAAATCAGAATCTGACAACTCAGCAGCTCCAACTGACTGAAACTTTAAAAATGATGGAGCAAACAGCTGAGAAGGTGAAGAAAATAGACGGCAACACTAAAAAAAGTTAAGAAAAAGGTGCAAAAGCTGGAAAAGAAGCAAGCTTCAGAAGAATCCCAGCTTTTACAGCTGCAAATGGAGAAAGCAAATTTGGCCCTCCAGTTCCAAGGGGTCCCGGAATTAAAAGACAAGAATCTAAAGCAACTCTTGAGTGAGGCATTAGCCCCAGTTACGGATTTGAAAGCGGAATATCTTGTAAACGAAATGGATGTGGTCTACAGAGCCTATTCCGTGTACATCAAGAAGAATAATCTGCCTGGGGAGATAGTGGTCAGATTCTCGAAGAGGCACATGAGGGATTTAATCCTGAAAGCAACTACAGGAACACCCTTGAAAATCGGGAACAACATTATCAGGATTTTAAAAGACATCCCATTTGAAATAAGGCAAAAGAGGAAGAAATACAAAGACTTAATCCTTTTCCTACAAACAAATAGCATTGCCTACAGATGGCAAATTCTAGAATGCGTAATTTTTTAACTACACGATAAAAAAGAAAAGATTGATGCTGTCTAATAATCAGTGCATATTGACAAAATATCCATTGTCGTTAAGGAATATTAACATCCTTTTGTCATAGACCCTGACTGCAATCCCCTAAGACAAAACCCAAAGCAAAATCTTCATAACAAGTTCCAACAACTTATTTCTAAATACACGTCAGCACAAACACTGGTATTTTAAATATTTATTTATTTATTTAGGTATTTTTACCCCGCCCTCCCCGCAAGTGGGCTCAGGGCGGCTTACAGAGGGCGACAGCCCATGCAAAAAACCAAAAAACAGTAAAATCATAGCAGCAATTATACATAACAACAGTGATAAATAAGTGCTTCGCGACAAGATGGTCCTTGGTAATAATGGCGTCTTTGATCTTCAAATCGGCCCCGTTGAGGTGCCACTGTCCAGTGGGTGTTAATATCACACAGGGTAAGCTGTACTTCCCAGGGTGATCCTGAATCCAGTTGGCATTACCACCATTAGTGGTGGTGGCAGCGGCGGCCCCTATGTGAAAGCCTGGCAGAAGAGCTCCGTCTTGCAGGCCCTGTGGAACTGCATAAGGTCCCGCAGGGCCCTGATCTCCTCCGGGAGCTCATTGCACCAGGTAGGGGCCGCCACTGAAAAGGATCTAGCCCTGGTCGCCACAAGTTTTACCTCCTGGGGACCTGGAACTACCAAACGGTTCTGGGTCCCCGACTGAAGTGCTCTTGGGGGTATATGCGGGGAAAGGCGGTCCCTCAGGTAGGTCGGACCCTGGCCATATAGGGCTTTAAAGGTAAGTACCAGCACTTTGAAGCGGATTCGGTAAGCTATTGGCAGCCAGTGCAGCGCCTTCAGCCCAGGTCGGATGTGCTCCCAGTTAGGGAGGCCCATCATCAACCTGGCTGCCGCATTCTGCACTAGCTGCAGCTTCCGGATCAGCGACAAAGGTAGCCCCATGTAGAGAGCGTTACAGTAGTCCAGCCTTGAGGTGACCGTCGCATGGATCACTGTAGCCAGGTCGTCGCGGCTGAGGAAGGGGGCCAACTGCCGGGCCTGCCTCAGATGGTAAAAAGCAGATCTGGCAGTGGCTGCTACCTGGGCCTCCATAGTTAAGGAGGTATCCAGGAGCACTCCCAAACTCCTAACCTCCGACGCTGGCACCAAAGGTACCCCATCGAAGGTCGGGAGAGGGATCCCCAACCCCAAGCCGTTCCGACTCAAGCCCAGGACCTCCGTCTTCGCTGGGTTTAATTTCAGCCGGCTCAGCTTGAGCCACTCAGCCACAGCCTGTAATC